GACATGTATTATTAATTACTTCAGTGTGATTTCTTTTCTTCTCTTCATTTGGTGTTCTCACTTGGGGTCTGAACCAGCCTTCAGTTGGCTGGAACAGGCACCCTGCTGTTGTCTCAAGGCACCTCAGGTTTTTCGGAGCACATCTCAAGTATCTGCATCTGTAAAAGACAGCGACACCCACCACCTCCTTCCCCCACAAAAGCCAGTAAACTTCACAAGCTGCCATCACGAGCTGCTCTCTCTAAGATGGCCACGAAGCTTTGGTGGGTACACGTGCTGAGGAAGTAATAGCAAAAGCAAAAATGGAAGTAACACATAGTGCTGAATATCTCTTTTTGATAGTTTCCTGGTCAGGGCTTAAAACTTCCGACCTCTGAGAATGAGAAAGTGATTGTTTAGGTGCTGAACTGGAGAGAGTTGCCTTAATTCTGATTAGGTTTTGAAAATGTGGTGTAAATTGCTTTGTTGTTTCTTTTAGTGCCTCATGCACATGGAAAGGTGGAGTCCCTACAGCATTTTTCAGGCTAGTTAAATTGGATGCTTGTATTTACTTGATATTTGGATATGGAGGTACAATAGACAATAAAACCACAGTCACAGGTATCCAGTGTTGCAGATATTAGTGCTTCACATTCATTTAACTTGATGCAGGAAAAGGTTGCTTAATTCTGTCTGTCTTTAATCCCAAGGCCTTGTGCTCAGTGTGTGACAGCAATGCATGTTTTTAATTTAGCTAAAATAATTCAACTTGACTTGCCTCTCCTTTAATTTGGCATCATACAGTGGTGATGTAAAAAAAAAATAAAAATCTTGAACACATTTCTCCCCTCATTTGACATACGTATAAAATAACTAGGTCTATAGGGAGGTTTAAAATTAGGCAGAAAAAAGCTCACTAGGCCCAGTACTGTGCTCTTTTGGCTTAGTGCTGTGCTGCAGCTCAACTTCTCCAGGCTTATTTAAGCATTGTAGTCTCTCCCCCCCCTCCTTTTTTTTTTTAAGATCCTTCCTGTTGGCAGCTGTCCTGAGACACGATGTTCTTGCTTAGCATTTTGATGTGGGGAAACAGTTCTGATAATTAAAGCCGGTTTCAAGCCATGAGCTGATTTGTAAGCAGTGACTTGCTCTGGGGTGTTGTCAGTCGATAAAACGTGTAGCTTGTGTGCATAGAGCCAGTCTGCACCTTGTGCCTTAAACTCCATGGGAGAGGGACATACACGCTCCCAGGAGCTGCTTCTGGATGAGACAGACTGCATCCTCTTCAGCCACCTGTTGGTGAATGGTGAATTCGTGGAAAATTATCATTATCATCCCTTTCCCCTCTGTGCGTAAACCTGGTGCAAACCTGTTGTTGTTATGCAGCTTTTCCTTGTTTAAATAAATGCAGTTCTCTTGGACCCACTCTGCAGTCCTCAACAAATTCCTTACAAGAGTACTGTGAAAGGTGGCAAACGCAAACACACCTGCAGCAGAACTGCAGACCCACGGTGCGGGTTTGGATGTGCTGGGGAAATTTGCTTTGTGGTGTTCCACTGCCAGCAAGGGCCCGAGTGTTACCCCTCTCATGTAAATGGTTGCAAGTCCTAATCCACTCTTGGGGTTTCTGTGGGCAGCGTGTGTTAGTGCGTGTGTGCCTCCATGTAACTTCAAGTGGGAATTAAAACTGCTTGATCCTGTAGTGGCATGATCTTGTGATGGCACTTTCCTTATCTAATTGGGTCTGACACTATTCTGAGGTAGCAGACAAACTTGAGTCTCCCTGCAGTGTAATCTAAGAAACTTGAGTGCCAGTAAGACAGATGGGTTTGAGAGGTCTAATTTAGGAGGACTACTAAACTACAGTGTGTGCATTTCAATGTGTGAAACAAATGGGTGGAAAACTGGCTAAATGGAGTATTAAATAAGTTTATTAAAAGCATGGCTGATTAGTTCTTTGTGGACTCTGTTTTCAGTGTGTACAGAGGTATTTCCATCACTTGTGTATTTCCCCACAAGGCACTGTTGTTCATCTGCCTGGATTAGGTAGGTGCTGTGTGACACTGAGCTCGTGGTACTAGGTGACACCTCCCTCACTGTTGCTTAAAAGCACTTGAGAGGTAAATGTTAAAGACAATCATTAGAAAATGGGGCCAAAAATAGAAGACACCTGAAAAAGAAATTACTTTTCTGTAGCTCTAAGAATTGTTCATATTTGCCTGACATTGACTTTAAAGGTTTAAAATACAGAAAATTGTTCTTTATGGATGAGCACAACCTAAAGGCTGAAATACTAAAATTTGGGTTGGAATCTCCTTTTTTTTTTTTTTTCTTTTCCTTGGCAGAAGAAGAGAAATCGACACAAGGGCAAAAACATACTGCAGTGGGTTTTAGCTCTTTCCATAACGTTTGATTTCTGTTGCCTCAGATTCTTGCAAGGTCAGATATTTTATTGCCTGTGGTCGAAGGATGTAGAATCTCATACATGTAAATTTGTGATGGTCACCATCCAGGAAAGACAAATTACATCCAGCTGCCATTACTTTTGCTTCTGATGCTTTTGGGAATCCCTGTATGGCTTCTAAATTCCTGTTGACATTTCCTGTGAAGCACATCCCAAATTTCTGCATGTTGCTCTCTTAGTTATCACTGAGACCCAGGACAATTAAGGGCTGTTAAATCCTTCATGGCTGCTCTTCACATAAGAGCATCTTAAGACAGTGGGATGGCTGAAGCCTGAGGAAAGCTGTGAGGACAAGCCTGGCTGCAGGGAGGAGTCTGTTAAAAAACAAGGAGAGAGGATGAGAGCGGTCAGATGTTGGTCCTGCAGCTCTAAATACTGCAGAGCCTGAGGCTATGGTTCCCCAGTGGGTAAACCAGATACCAGTCAGAGCTTCTGGTGCTCCACCTGCCCCGGAGTCCTTGCTGACATGGGCCTGCCTGTGCCCTGCCTTGTCCAAGTGCCCCTCTGAGCACCTCCCGTGTTGCTGGGTTGGTCTGGGGGCAGTTCAGCTCCGTGGGTGAGCGCGCACTGCCGTGTGACACGTCTCTGTCACACCTCACATGCCTCTGACAGCTCGTGCTCACTGCAGCAGCAGGAGAGCTCAGGTGGGAGAAGGTTGAGGAACAATACAGCAACAGGCACTAACTGTGCCACAGAGCTTTTATTCCTTCTGCTGGCCAAAGTCAGATGTGACTCTGGGACCCTCATCGATCCGTCTGCTTCTGCTGTCAGTGCACTCCTGAAGGGACAGCACTGGGCAGTCTGACCAGCACCAGCTGCTGAGGCTCTGGTCAGGTCTGTCATGCTAGTGTTGTCTGTGTTGCTTTACAGGGTCGTTCCAGCCCAAAGCAAGCCTCAGGAGCTGCTGTCATGTCCCAGTCTTTGCTGCTGTCCCTGCCTTGTGACAGTACGCAGGCCACCACAGCTCACCTTCCAGTGGGAACAGGAGCATAAAGCACATCAGAGTCCGCTGGGGGCATTTTGAGAGGTGAAGAAACGTTGATGTAGCCCAGGGCTTGTAATTTAGGACAGGCAACTGCCACTGCATTCAGCAAGGAACTACTGGAGGGATGGGGAAAAGAGGGAGAGAGGAAGAGGGCAACGTGGACAGCAAGGTCTGTGAGCATTCCCTCTCTTAGGAGTCAGCAGCTTCCCTCTCAGAGACCAGCCATTCTTCACCTGTCCCCAGCTTGTATCCCAGGTAGCTTTTTGTGCACTGCCGCCAAGAGGCTTAGCTGGCCAAAAAATGTATACATTTAAGGCACTGCAGATGCTTCCCTTAACTTATGTTTACTGAAAAAATGTAGGAATAAGTTCTGGTACCATCCATATGTTCCAGAACAAGTGGCATCTTTTGAAAGGTGAAAAGGCAAAAGTCAAGTGTGGAGTCTGGGCTCAGCAAGTAGGCTGAAGTGGTACTAAGTGAAAGCAAATAAAATGCACTGTAAGTGCTGCGGTGTGCGTTTATATATAGTGTAAAAGAGAACTAAAATATTCCTCAGAGTGATAAAATGCACAAAACATGGAAATCATAAGCTGTATAACAGGCAGCAGAGGGTTTTTTTCTGCCTTCCTTAGCATTAGGAACAGCTCCAGACATTTCTGAGCAGTATTCCCACAAAATCTTGCAGATAAGTCCATAGCAGCTCTGTCTGTCTAAAAGCTTGTGATGGTGAGAGACTGAAAATGCATATAGAGGATGAAACTCCTTGTTAATACCACAGTAAATAAGGCGGGCGGTTGCACTGATTGTAGGGCTGTTGCATTTAATTCACTAACAGTCACTGCAATTAGGCACTTGCAGCTCCTTCTGCCCGTTACTTTCCACGGTGTCTTCCCGGGCTTTGCTGCTGAATTTAGTTGCAGAGGCCTCTGTGAGGTCTTAGACACAGGCAAAAAACGCCACGTGGAACAAACCTCTGATGAATCTTCACCGGCACCGCAAACTTCAGGATTTTGTTCTTAATATGAAAAAAAAAAAAAAAAAAGACATCTCCTGCAGAACACTGGTGTTCAGCTTGTCTTTCCTTGGATAATAAAAGGCAAGAGGTTTGCTGTTAAGAGAGCGACTGAATTCTCTGGGTTTGACTCTTAAGGCACTCAGCTGTGAGTGAGCTTTTCACACATCTCGTAGCAATCGGCACGCTGGGTGCCTTGCTATGGTACAGTGCTTTAATACTAAGAGGTTTTCTTTCCTTTTCACTACAGCAAATTTGTTGTGCAGTTGAAATAGATTGTGCAGCTCAAGTGGGAGCTGGAGCATCCTTTGAGAAAAAAAAAAGAAGTATCTGAGGTACCCTTTGTAGAGGAGAAAGTACTGGAAGTGTTTCTGGCTGAAATAAATCTGGAAGAGACAGGATTTTATTGCAATGAGGGTTGTTATCTTCCATTGTATTTAATATTTTTCTGGAGATATGCTAAATGCTGTCTGGACCATTAATAAATAGGTTTCTTTAGAACCATTTTTATCTGATCGAGTGTCTGTGATTTCTTAAGATGGAAGTTTATATATAATCTCTTTAAATGGCTTTGTAAACAAATGTGTTTTAATTAGTACAGAATCGTCTTTGGTAGCCTATAAAAAGTCTTGCAGAGCTGTAAATATGTAATTCCTGACACTTCAATAAATGTGTTAGCTTAAAGAGGAGCAAGGCAAGTGTGCTTCAGTACTGGCTTCTACTGAACACAGTCGGGTATATAATTACATAATTACCCACGTTACATGTGTGGCCACGATAAACCAGGACTATACAAAATCATCCAAACACACTGAACTTTCAGTACCATTAAAACAGTTTGCAGGAAAATTCCGTCATGGCTGCAGAGTGTGACTGTGCACAGAATAAAAAGAGCCGCAGCCCTTAAGAGATGCTGCTTTGTTGTGTCAAGCTCTGGTAAGAAAGGGTTGAAGCTGGAGTCAGAAGGCAGGCAGGGTTCCTCGCCCTGATTTTACCTTGGTGGCAGGTGAACCTGAAGTCACAATGGGGAAATTTCTACTGCTGCATTTCTGCATTTCTTAAGAACTTTGAAATAGTAATAAGTTTGCGAGTAATGGTTCTGTCTGTGTTCATCCTGACCAGTTCATGTCACAAAGGATCCTGAGCTTCTGTTTGCTGACTCTGTCTAAAACTAGAGTGCTCACTGTAAGCAGGTATTTGCATTTCATAAATGTGAAGAGACTCTGTGAAGAGTCTTCCTGTAAAAACACAAGTGTCTTACAGTTAGTTCACTTCTGTATTTTATGCTGGATTTCATATCTGGTTTTCTCCCTTCTTTAAGGAGAAAACACAACCATTAATTCGCTGCCAGTGTCTCTGACCCAGAGCTGTGGGCTCAGGCCAGACTACTTTGGTTCACAATGTACCTGGAGAACATTTGATTCCAGAAGTGAATTTTTGGTGCAGAGATTCTTCTCTGACTTTGTCCTATGTACGCTATTAAGCCAGATTACATAGTCATTATGCAACAATGAAAAATTTAGTAACTGCTCTATATTTAAGCCTTTGTGTATTAACTTCATTGCACAGCACCAGGATGGGTTTGAATGTGGAAAAAAAATGTGAAACATGAGAAAAGGAATCAGAAATGCTTCGGTAACTCTTGTCTAGTTTGCAGTGCTTTCTTTTAGATAAATTTCAAATATGTATCTATTCTTAGAAGTGGGAGTTTTGTTTGTATTAATGTTTGTCCTCAGTTTGCCTTGTGACAGGGTCTGATTCTGTCTGGTTTTAGGATCGAAACAGTTAACGTACAGAAATGACAAATTTTTAATTTTTGCATCTATTTCAAAAGTGCCTGTTGTTCTCACTAGCACGGCTTGTAGCGATTGCATTTTCAGTGTCATTTGAGTGTTTGATCTGTAAGTGTCCTTTTCTCTTCAGAACATCACCAAACAAGTATATTTAGCAGTTGATTTGAGAGTATGTCAACCTCCCATACGCAGAGCTAGTTTAGTAGACTAAATTTGGGACATCTGAAACACAGACACATGTTCAGCCACACAAGTGTTTTTAGCATTAAGGCACCCTGCAGAAAGCACAGTTAGGGCCGTGCTGTGAGGCCAGAATTGTTCCATGCCCATACGTGCTCTGGTGGTGCACTGTGGGGAGAGGTGCCTTGGGCTGTGGATGTTGAAGCAACCAACTTCTGCTGGAGCCAGCAGGAAGGGAAATTCAGAGCAGGCAGCGTGGGAATACAGACATTGAGTGGCTTTTTGTCCATTTCCTAGCCTTCCAGATCCTTGCTGCCCACCAGGTGGAGATGCTGCAGGTCTAAGATGCCTCCCAGTATGGCCAGTACAGCTCCATGTCTTGACTGGGCAATCTGCTAGTAGGAGGGAGAGGGGGTGTGGACCAGAGGGAACTGGAACTGTTCTGGGACTTCCCATGGGATGACAAACTGCTGATAGAGCTGCTTTTTCCTTTCTACAACCAGCTTTGGGTCAGCAGAGAATGGGTACATTGAGAGAGTCATTCTTCTAATTTCAGGAGGCTGTGGAGTGAGACCTGGGGGACGTGCAAGGTGAACACTTGTCATGAATTTTACTTTTCTCTAGTGGGTTTTATGCTCTTGCCCACAAATGCTCAGAAACAGATGAGCATGGCCCTTCTGACACTTTCAGCAAGTGACCTCTGGCAGTCAGGGGCATGATGCCAACAGTAGGAACTGTTGTTTATGTCTTTGGATGCAGCTTCAGGGAAGTGCCCACCCCATGCTACCTACCATAAACATGTCAGCTGTCAGAAGCTTGTCTGCATGGGGTGCCCAGCTGGGGTGGCAGGATGGACAGGCACACATTTCACATGAACTTGACACTGTCACCCTGTATCGTGAGTGTCTGTGGCCATTTAGTGTCCCCACAGCCTAGCTGAGCCGAGCCATGCCATGCTGAGGACTGAGCAGCTTGTTTGGGGTGTGCACTTTGCCCTTCCAGCTGGCTTTGTGCAGCTCAGTGGCCTCCAAATAAAGTCTGTAGATTTATACTTGAATGGTTTAGGAAATGCACCTTTGCTGCTGTCAAAAAACTGTGCAACTGCTGCTTGAACAACTGTCTGCTGTCTGACTGGCTGCAGGCCCTTTCTGTCTGCGGTGTTGGGCCTGAAAAAGCTCTGGAGAGTCCCTGTGGAAAGGCTACAGTGGATCAGGTCACTTCACAAACATACCGGCACTGTATCAGTTAGAGGGGCACAGGTTCAAGTTGCACAGTTTGGGGTATTTTGCTGTTACGTGAATGGGAATCTTGTGAGTCAAATGCTGCAGCATTACAGGCAGTCTTTGATTTACATGTTCATAGGCATGAACCTATGTCTGGGTAAATCTCTAAAAACCTCCAGGGACTGCCTTCTACAGCCTTTCTGGACAACCTATTCTGGTTGTGCACTGCTGCCCTGATAAAAAAATTTGTTTCCCAAAGTCCATCAGGAACCTCACAATTCACAGCCATTGCCTCTTGTATTATTTGGCCCTACAGAAAAGTATTTTGTTCCCGTTGAAACTGCCTGTCAAGTAGTTGTAGGAATTTCTTGGAGTTGTTGCCATTTCCTTGGAATGAAGATTATCCAGGGCGAACAATAGACTTTTTTGTTTCTTTTTGTTTTGTTTTGTTTTTTTTCTCTGTATCTTGGTATTCCATTTCTTGGTGCATTGAAATGGATTTGCATCTGGGATTTCATACATGTGGCAAAGCTTCTTGACCATTATTTAATAGACCCATTTAATACAATTCTGGAATTGGTTAGGGGCAGCCTTTTTCTGAAGAGTTGTGAACGTGCCTTCCCGTAGCCCAACAGTGGAGCAAAGCAGAGTCTCCAAGGACTAGAGTCAGTGAGTGCTCTTCAAATTCACTACTGGTGGATGTCCTCGTTTTTCAGGGAAATTCTTAACAACACTGTTTTGCTGCTTTGTCCCTCCAGTGGGACAATCTGTGGGCTTATTAAGCATTAGAAGAGCTGTAATGCAGACTGATAGGGCCATGTTGTGAGCTTTCCTGTGGAGAAACGCTGAAGTCTTGAACATCTGAAAGCCCTTTGTCATCTGGCTCAAAGGACAGTGTGGTAAATCAGAGATAGAGCACCCGTGCACCTCTCCAGACGTGGAGCTGTACCCAAAATGGAGAGCTGCAGGCTTGAGGATTCGGATTTTGGATGGCATTTTTTTAGATCCCTACCTTCCCTGATGGATGCAGTACCAGTGACGAGGGGGATATTTCTGTGCATCCACATGAGGTGAGAACAGTGCCCACTTCTGTAGGCACTGCTGTCCTGGCCTGACACCACACTTGGTGTGGGCGAAGGTGTAGCAGTCGGGGTCTGAAGCTGGAGCAGAGTGTAATTACCCACCTTCAACCACATTTTGCACACAGAGACTGTTACCCCGTTGCTCTTGAGACCAGGCTGCTTTTTCTGCTTATTTTTTTAGGTGGAATTCAAGGTGTGAGCTGCGAAACACAAAGCAGCTCCGGCTGCGATTACCTCTGTGAGTGCCTTTCCCTCCTCCGGTGGTCACAGGCAGCCGAGGAAAAGCAAAAGCTGTCAGGTCCCTGCAGAAAAAGAGAGAAATTAGTGCTGGCAGAGCCTGTACGAGACAACTTATCTGCTGTGAAGTTTGAGTCCCTTGTTCCTGCTGGTGTGATCTGTTAACATAACATGCCTGAAATGTTTTCTTACATTCTTATTACAATTTTTTTTCTAACATGCGCAAAATGAAAGACGTGGGGATATTTACTCCAGCACCACAGGAATTGTGGTGGGCTGGTTTTCTTTTTGTACATTCACAATCTGTGCCATCGATTCTAATGCATGAATTAGTCACATAAGCATGCCTGCATTTCTGTAAAGATCTACGTAAAGCTTATGCTTTAAAATTAACGGATTTATAGATGCTGAGTAATTAGATGAAAGAAAAAGTCCCTTTAAAAAAAAAAAAGGTGAAGTTAGAGCAGATCTTGCAGCAAGTGTGTTTATTACATTTATTGCTATTAGTCGTTAGTGTTGAGAATGCCTAAAGCATTTTTGTTAATATTTAGCTCTTTTTAATTCTTCTCATTGGTCAGTTAAAATGCTCTTCTTAATTTCAGTCCAGTGTTTTTCGTGGCACTTCTGTGAAGTCCTGCTTTACTGGGCTGGCAGGTAACATAAAAGAATTAGTGATTTAAAAAAAGCACACAGCCATGCCCCTGAATCCTGGCAATATTTCTGTTAACTCCCCAGTTGACGGTAAGGATGTGCACTAAAGCCTTACTTTCTTCCTGTGATAAGCAGACTTTCCTCAAATAGCAATAGAGGCAGATAAGTTGAGTACGTAGTCTGGTTTCATTAATGTTTTCCAGGATTAATGCGAAGTAGATCTCAGATCAACAATTCTGTATATTCCTTATCAGACTTTAATTGCTCCAAGTATATAGATCATTCCATTTCAATGCATTTAACTCTGTATTTACCACCTGGATACTATTCTTGTCCTCTTCCTTTCCATATCCTCCTTTATCCTCAGTCCCCACTTGCTTGTCAGCTGTCTAAATACAGTTGCATCCAAGTTTTGCTGAGTGACGCAGATGATTGCATGTGTGTTTAGAGGCCACTTACAATACAAAAAGATTATTCAAATTTAGTCCCTGAAACAAGTTTTTGTATTTAAAATGCAAACCCAGCCAGGTAGCTGTTAGAGATTACAGGCACTGAAATAAAAATTTACCTGATCAGGATTTTCTGTATAAGTACCAAATATAATTCGGGCATTTTGTTGTTTTAAAGTTCAATATCCCAGTTTAAGGTAGCAGCCTCAGGGATCTGATGGGGCTGTTTTTATGAATACTTAGCCCAGTCTTTGTTGATGTTGTTTAAATAAAAGGATGTAGATGGGTAAGTTTAGAGCTTTGTGTTTAAAAACAAACCTCAGGCCTAAACAAAAAGTCTGTCATTAGTTTTCTCCTGTGAATCACATTTGCAGCAATATTCCTTTTTCCCTAAGTGGCTTGAAGAAAGAATTGACAGTTTTACAGAAATGCTCTTTCCTTTCTTGCCTAATACATTGCTGATTTTTAGGCAGCTAGAACTAGATGTGTGAGTGGGTAGTCATCGCTGTTCTGTATTTCAATTTGATTTTATTTTGCTTGGGGTTTTTTCCCCATTAATTCTCAGGTTGTTTTCACATTGCACTAATCATTCCAATTACACATGTGTAATTTGTCATTTGGTGCATATTAAATCCTCTTCAGCTGCATTTCGAACACTGATGCTGGGTTGTGATTCTGAACTGATTGTTCAAAAGAAAGTTCATTCTGACCAGAAGCACTGAATTCCCTGCAATGTTTATTTCCTTCATGCAGCACTGAGCAGATTTGAAAAAGATGATTATTCATCTCACCCTTGAGATCTGCTTCAGTTGTTCTTACGGCTGTGTGGGGGACGTCGGCTCCAGGTCATCACTTTGTTCAGCCTGTAACAGGCTGGGAGAAAGGAAAACAGTAGCCATATTGCTCGTGGAAGTGCTTCGGCATCCATTTTTGTCTCACTGACCCACGTGGATTCCTGTTCAAGAATTGTGAATTAAAACCAGGAGAGACTTTCTGTAGGATTTAACTTAGAAACACACACGGTTCTTTGGTTTGCCACTGCCTAGTTTTGGATAGTTGAAGCAACTGTTTCATGGACTGTTGTATTGCCAGCCTCTCTTTCTCAAAAGAGAGACAATTTGGAAAAGAGATATTTGTAGAAATACTACTTTGCTCATCCTCTTTTTGCTGATAGATTGATGTCATTAGTACAGGAGAGGTTGTGGGGGGGCAGCAGTAGTGATACTTGCAAAGGAGTAACAGAGGAAGCAGGACCCAGTTGTTGAGGGATATGGCTGGAATTGGGGAGAGGGGAACCGGGATCTGCAGCTGCCCACAGCTCTGTCTCTGCCTGCAGAAATCACTGTGTTGGAGCAAAATCCCAGTTTTAATTCCTTACCCAGCCATGGGTTGAGTGTGCAGTCTTGCCCTGGAATTCTCAGATCTCTGCTTGTACTCCCCCCTTGGTTAAGATGGGACTGACCAGGCCGAGCAGACTGCTTTGAAACACAGGTATGAGACTCCAGTCTCGAGTGTGCCAGCAGCATTACTGCATTACAAGTGACCTTTCAGTCTGAAACTTTGCCAAAGGGAGGGGAAAGGAAGCCACTCGAGTTCTGCACAGAGATCCTGCAAACAGATGGTGTTTGCATATAGGATATGCTTTTCGGGTGCAACTCTACTACAACGCTCTCCGTTTTTAATAATTGCAGGCGGGCTAAACTCCGGCTATATTTGGAACAGCTAAAACAGCTTGTGCCTCTCGGGCCGGACAGCACCAGACACACCACTCTAAGTCTGTTGAAAAGAGCTAAGATGCATATCAAGGTAAAAACATTTGCGCATGTTTTTGTTTCTTTTGAAGGAGAATCTTCCAGAATGTGTATCCGTAGAGAGGAAACTAATTTTCACACAAAATCCGTATCCATATGTCCAATCTTCTGGATATATTGGCCTTTATTAGTTGCAAGGATTTCAGTCACAGTATCAAGGTTTTGCAATTTACCCGGCAGTCTCAGATATATAAAACAGTCATTTCTGCTTAGTTACTAAGTAATGTAGTTATTTACACTGTAGTTTAAAAAATAATGTATATGTATCAAAGCTGTTCTTTGATTAATATGTTTGTTTTTTAAGGATTGACCAAAGTAACATGGTATTGCATTGGTTTCAATGTAAAAAGACAGATCCATTTGTGTTGGAAAAAAATAACATAGTCAAAAGATTACAGCTACTAGTGAGCCTTATCCTCATCCCACATCTTTCTGACCAGGTTCTGAAGCATTTTTTAAACATTTAAATGAACCCAAAAATTAAATGCAATCTTCTGCTAGTTGCTGGCTCCCCTTATTACAAGTTTAAAACAAAAAACCAGCCCAAAATCTCACCTATGATCCAGCAGCAGTGCAGGTTCTACATTTGCAAAGGTAATTCAAAGCAAATTACTCCCTAGGCCTCCTCTCTCCAAAGACACCTTCACTCCCATTTTCACTGTCGTCATTTTCAGGGAACCTGGTAAAGTGCAGAAATAAGACAAAGAGGTATTCAAATGTAAAAGTTAAAGAACAGGTTTCTGCTGTTGTGTCCAGGACTATAATTACTCATCTGGCATTTTTTTCAGTGTTACAGGGAAACAGCTCAAGAAAAGTGTCAGGAAAGGTTGAACACTGCCAGTAATCTTAGCATATTTTGGAGAACAGCCTGCTGATGTACATCATTAAGATGCACTGCAGTTACAGAGATGTGTGTAATTCATACAAAGAATTAAAGATTAATTTAAGCAAAACTGTTCGTGTGAACAAATTTGCAGAGCTGCTTCTTCAGCTCTTCTAAGCACATTTACTCCAGCTGGGCAACCCCTGTTTTTACCATTTGAGATTTTGGCCTCTTGTTTATAATTCAGGCTAACATGCGTGAAAGGCCCTGCATGTGGTTTTTGTCTTGGGCTGCCCCCCTATCATGGGCTTATGCATACAAATTGAAAAACTGTTTTTACAAGTGGCGAGTGTGAGAGATTAGCCCTGTAGTTACCATTTCAGCTGCTGATAAAAAAAAGCTAGGAACAGCTTCTTTCCAAATCCACGGGACCAAGTACCCGTTTTCTGAAAACCGAGACTGAAGTTTAACTTTCTTTTTAACATTTTAACTGAACCTGCCCTAACTGGGTTGGCACTTAATTGCTCCCCTTTTGTCAGGTCAGCTCCCTCCCCGCTGCACTGCCAGAGCATGGCTGTGCCCGGCTGCCATTTCCAACTCAGTCATTAGTTTTGAACTTTTCACACACACCCCCATATATTGAAACTTACTCTGAAAGATTGGACGGTTTTGAGTCTCCTGGATATGAATCACTGAGTTCACTCCTAAAATAGCTGTTAGAGTTCGGGATAGCAGCCAGGAAAATACAGGAAGAGGAAATCTGATCAATTGGGCACATTTGGTTTGTTGTGTACATGGATGTACCAACCCCTTTTCTTATTTTAACATTGTGTACCCACCTCAGATGCATTTCCACGGAGTGTATTACCTGGGAGGGGGCTTAACACCTGGCTGAAGAGGGTAGATCTCATTCAGCCAGGAAACTGCCCAGTTCAAGAGTGTCAGTTATTTTTTCAGAGAGAAATGCATTTATTTCAGGCTTGCACTGGAACAGCGAAATCTCTGAGGGGTTTTGCTTGTGGTTTGCTGTGCACTGTCCCAGCCCACTCTCCTCAGAAAACCAAGCCCAGGTTCATTCAGATGGCGGGGAGGCGCTGTCAGCAGCTGCACTCACTCCCTGCACATCTCCTAAATCTCAGTGGTCGTGTAAGCACAGCTCACAGAGAAATCTGCTCTTTCTTACGAGTGCTTTTACTGCTGCAACCTATAATTTACTGCATCAGTTAGATAATTTTTTTAGCAATAAAAGGTGTTTTGATTTGTGTGTCCTTCATGCTTTTAATCCCATCTTACTCATTACACTTTTTTCCCTAATTATACTATCAAAGCCAGCTATCAGTGATATGGGAGAGGGTTCAGTTGAAATATTAAAAGATGTTACTTTTGTTGCTGCATTTGGACCAACTGTGCAGCATGTATTCTTTTTATTTGCAAAATTAATACGTGCTTTTATTCTATCAGAGGGGAGATTTTAGGTAGATATGTGGAAGAATCCTTTCACAGGCTGTTTGCTTGAGAAATTTTGGATGAATACCACTGATTTTGTAGGAGATATCACAGAATTATCATATTTGCTCTGCAGAGGTTCAAGGAAAAAAATCCAAGAATAAAGAGAATTGTTAGTAAATTCCTCCCACAATATATAATTAATACTGCTTATTGTTAATTAAGCTTTTTAAATGCTAAAATTTTCCATCACCTGTGGTAGGAGGGAGGGCATTCAAAGGCTCAGGATGGTTCCTTTATGGTGATAGATAACTCTCTTATTTCACCTAAAGAGGTGTTACATTCTCAATGAAACCTGAGCTGCACTCGAGTTATCAAAGATGATGCCAGTTTTGCCTGATAAAATGGTTTAAATATTCCTCACAACCAAGTCAACAATAATTTGGCCTTAGCCAAGGAATGTCTGCTAGTCGCAGGAGAGTTTCTGAGGGATTTTTTTTTCAGTATTTTCTCCCCTGCATCCATGTATCTTGTTGTGAGACAAATTCAGCCGCAACCTAGCCTGCCAAAATTGCACTGACCTCTACAGAATGCTAACTGACAAATTAAATCCTTAAATTTCATTTTAACTTCATTAAAATATTTATATCGCTTTTAAAGTACTATTTATGAGAAGACCTTAAGTTAACTTAATGCTTTAACGTGGGTGAAAGCTGTCGGCTTACTGTGTTCCTCTCCCTTTAAGAAATTGGAAGAACAGGACCGAAAAGCTCTAAATATTAAAGAACAATTACAGCGGGAACACCGCTACCTCAAGCGCAGATTGGAGCAGCTATCCGTGCAGGGCATGGAGCGTATCCGCACTGACAGCATGGGATCAACAATATCCACTGACTCTGAACAAGGTAATTGAACCGGGGCTTCCCAAGGGGAGTCACAGGAGCAGGAAGGGAAAGGGAAGTAGGGAAACGAGAAACTGTCATTTGGAACTAAAACCGAGCTTTCAACAAAGCCCAGACAAAACTGTTCCACAATGCTATTTGAGGAGTAAAAAAACTACTGCGACTTTTTTACTGTCTTTGAAAAATGTTCCTTTTTCTCATCGGTTTTGAAGCTATTAATACTGTGTGTATTTTTAAAGCTATTTATCCTGCGTGTGTTTTTGCCAGTTTTTTAAACAATTACCATTTCATGTCTTGAATTTTTAGTGTAATTACTGGTAAGGCTGGCATAATGTTTTCTCCTGGAAAAAAAAAAAAATCCTATTGGGCTTAATTAATTTGTGTGAATAAATTAATTCCACATCGTTTATTGTGAAATTTTAAATCATCTTCTGTGTAACAATCACCAAGGGTTCTTCATTTGGTTCTCATTTAAGACAGAGCTCTTGGAGCTGCCCATGGCCATTTCTTATTTTCCCATTTGGAAGTTTTTCCGTGCTGAGCACTCGCCCAGGCTGTTTCAGGGCTGGTGGGAGTTGAGTGGTTGGTGTCGGGGCAGTCACTGGGGACAGACGGTCACGCCACAGTCCTCGCCAGCCAAGGGTTGGAATTACCGGGAATGGGGCTGCACTATCTCGGCCTTTGAGGGTCGGGTTCTTGCTAGATCAGTGTCATGTGCAGGTTGGAACAGTTCTGGGACAACATTTGGTACTGATGTCATGCAGTGTATTTATGTGGTTGAGGACAGAAGGGATTTTAATTCTCAGGTGGACAAGATGATCATTTCCTCAGGAGTTACTGTGCCAGTTCTTTTTGTTTTGATTACTGAAAATGAAGCATGATTCAGGTTCCACCTGAATGCTGATTGACACTGGCCCATAATTACTTGCTACAGCTGCTGCCTTTCTGAAAATGTGCCTTCTTATGTTTTCTTTAGAAGTAGACATTGAAGGAATGGAGTTTACTCCAGGTGAAATGGACAGTATTGGAAGTGCCAGTGATGCCGAAGACCACTACAGTTTGCAAAGCGGTTCGAGTGACGGAGGTTACACACATTCCCGCAGACTGAATGCCAGGCTCTCATAGTGCCTGAGTTACCTGTTCAACTCAGGACCATCTGACTGAAGCACTTATATATGAATATTCCAGAGGTGTCAACTGCCACTCTTCCGGGAAACCCCAACCACAGTACTCTGACATGGAGGTTTCTTACCCACGGTTCCCTGCACTGTCACCACAATATTAGATATTGTAAATCATGGGTTTGCTGCAGAGAACTGTGGTTAGGTACAGTTGTGACTTAAAGCTAGCTTGATGTAGCCATACTGCAAATTAAAGGAAATAAATTCTGTCATTCCATTCAAGAAGAATTAAATTCAAACTGTTGGAAGCATGGCGTAAGGGAGTTTGACAGTTATTTTGATTTTGCAGAAACCATTTTTCAAACATGGAAGAATAAATGGAATCTACAATGTGTTAGTGATTCAGAGATACAAAAACCTAAAACTACTTTTTGTGGTATTTTTTCATGAAAAAAAAACCAAAACAAAACAAAAATCCAAAACATTTTGAATGCTGCATAGTGGGCTTCATAGAGCAAATTCTTTCAGCAGTTGTTGTTTGGGTGAAGCAGGCAGATAAATCTTCAAATCTCAGATGATCTTTAGAAAAGGTCATATTTACAAGTCACTACTGTACTTCAAAACGGGGGAAAAGCCAGCTCTAATAATGACTTCATGTGGGATGATCTCAACTTTCTTTTGCTTTTTGTATTCAATATCCAACCAGCAGCAAATCATTCTATCCATGTTAATGGGAGCAGTAGAAAGCAACATGGCAGTTTTAACCTGTTATCGTGGAATGGATGACATCTGAAGCATTTCAGTGGTTTCATGGGTTGTTGTTTTCATTTCTTTCTCTGAAGAATACAGAACTCAAGTGATCCAGTTTGTGATAGTTAATCTTTCCTTGCAAGGAAATGAAATCTGTTTGCTTGTATTTTTTTTCTTTTCTTCTATTTACACATGTCAATACATTTTTATGGAAGGCATGGCTTAAGATTACAGTATTCAGCTAGAAGATAATTAATTTTTTTTTCTTTTGCACACTATAATTGCATTTTCTATTCTTAAAAAAAAGTGCAAAAAAATTTAAAATGTATGCTGTAAAACAGCAAAGTTTATTTAGTACTCATCAAGCTGTTCAGAACATATTTACCCA